CACCTGCTTCCCTCCCTTCTTCACTACCCCACTTACTTGCTTCTCCGCAGCTTTGATCCCTTCAGCAGCTCTTGGTTTCTTTCTAAGCTGTCCTCAGTCTTTGCTCTGGCCTGGGTATGCAAATTAACCACCATCTTGGTTGGATTAATTTGCATACTCACCCTGATTGGCTGGTGAGCGGGGCTGGTGGGCGTAGCGAAGGTTTGGTCAATTGCATGTTTCTCTTTCATTAGGTAGGATATATATAATACGTAGTTCAATCTTCAAATTTTAAAGCTGGGAAATCTGAAGTTTATTAAATTGTACAGCTATGTTGCTGGTAAGTAATGAGAATTTGTTCTGGGACCTGCTCCTAAACTCCTAAAGATGTAGGCCTATTCATAAGGATAAATGAAGGTAAATGTAAAAATTAAGAAAGGAAAATAATTTTCTTTTTAGTCAGTTTGTGTCTCTCTGCAGCCAAGAATCAAGCATAGTTAGGTATAGTACTCCAGAGGCTATGATAGCATAGGACATATAATATCTTTTATATTGAAATATAACATCCTGCTGTTTTAAGTGACTTAGTGTAGTAGTGTAGTCTGGGATTAAATCACACTGGTGACAATTAAAACATGGTGGCTTGGCCCTGTAGGGTTTAACTTGTCTAGTTGTTTCTAAAATTCTGTTTCTTCAGCTGGTTTTCTTTTTTTTTTTTTCCCTAAGGTTAGAAATAATTCCATTCATTTCTTCCTGTATGGGTACATTCAAAAGTATTTGAACACTTTACCATGTGGCAGAGACTGTTAAAAGCATTGGGGATAGCCCAGTCTGTGTGGCCCAGTGGTTGAGCATCGACCCATGAACAAGGAGGTCACAGTTCAATTACCAATCAGGGCATATGTCCAGGCTGTGGGCTGAATCCCCTGTAGGGAGCGAACAGAGGCAGCCAATCAATGATTCTCTCTCATCAGTGATGTTTGTTTTTTTTTAAATATATTTTATTGACTTTGTACAGAGAGGAAGGGAAAGAGAGAGTTAGAAACATCAATGAGAGAGTCATCGATCAGCTGCCTCTCGCACACCCCCTACTGGGCATGTGCCCGCAACCAAGGTACATGCCCTTGCCCAGAATCGAACCCGGGACCTTTCAGTCCCCAAGCCGATGCTCTATCCATTGAGCCAAACCAGTTTCGGCTCATTGATGTTTTTATCCCCCTCCCTTCCTCTCTTTGAAAAACAAAACAAAACAAAACAAAACAAAACAAAACAAAACCAAAAAAGAAAAAAAAGAAGAAAAGCAAACCAAAACCCAAACATTAAAAAAAAAAATGTGTCTATATTAAAAAAAAAAAAAAAAGCATCCGGATATAGCAGTGAACAAAAGCAGACCAGTTCCTTGCCCTTGGGGCAAAGAAAGAAAAGATGGAGCTGCCAGGTCATTATTGCCAATTTTTGATTTTAGAAGCTCTTGAAGATAATAAAAGAAAATAGAACTTTTTATTGATGAAAAATTGGAAAACAAAGATAGAGAAAACAAAGATATATGTGGTGAATTAGGAGATTTTTCAGCTTTTCAGAAAATAACTGCTTTCTCTGTATTTCTGACCCCATAGTGGGTATTATTGCTGCTATTTACCTATCATGTTGATTGCTTATTCTGTTACAGGCATTGTGCTAAGTGCTTTGAGTATATAGAACCCTGTAAGGTAGGGATTATACCATCCATTTTACTCTTGAGAATAACAGGACCCAGGGAGGTTCGCCAAGTACTTACTCAGCTAGTAAGTGGTTGAGCCTTGATTTGGACCCAGGAGTCAGTGTCCAGAGTTTGTGCATCTGGGCCAAGTATTAAGTATTGCAAACTGAATAACATATATATATATATATATATATATATATATATATATTTATTATTACAGTAAAGGCTTTTGTGTTCAAGTTTTTTGCTTTTATTTCATTAACTTGCCAAAACTTAATGATTTTCTTAAAGTTCAGCCACTTTTAACTCCTTGTGTAATTAAAATTTATGCCATAGGCAAGTAAATGCAGAAAAAAATCATGTATTTATTATTAAAATAAACTTAAAAAATGTGATATACCAAATATAGTAGACATGAGAAAAGTCTAGTGTATAGAATTTATTTTATAATGTAATGTTTATAGTGTAATCTTCTGTATGTACCTAACGTGCCTTGTGAGCACAGTGCTTGCCATATAGTAGGTGATCCATAAATTACAGGAATTTTTAGTATTTTTGTTTCCACTTGTAAAGTAGGTACTAATTTTTACTTTCAGGTGATATGCTTTTAAAATACTCTTAACAGCACAGGATGGTAACCTGATTCAGAAAACTCAGCATTCATACGTGAATCTCTTCACTTTTGAGGTCGCTCTCCTTTTGTGTATCTCCAGGGTTTATTTGGATACAAGTACATTTTGGTAATTGAAGGCTGAGGTCCACGAACTTGAGTATGCATCAGAATCACCTGGCAGGCTTCCTGCAAGACAGTTTTCTGTCCATCCGAGTTTCTGATCCCACGAGGGGTGGGGCGTGCCTGAGGATCTGGTTGGTATTCTCCCAGGTGCTGCTGTGCTGGTGTGTGGACAGTCCTTTTAGAGCTGCCACTCCAGGAGTGACATGACTTCTCTTTATGGCTGTTCCCTTACAATCATACATGCCCACTGAGTTAAGCTGTGCAATCATGGTGTTGCTGTTCTTATTGTGAAATTTATTTTGATATAGAGAAATTTGGTTATAAGTATAATTGCTCTTTATTGCTTAAGAAAAGCAGTTGCTTTGGCATTACACAATTTCAAAGTGCTGGTTTTAATTTGTTTCTGTTCATCTTTATTCAAGAACACAAAAGCACACAGGTTTAATTTTTAGGGGGAGGAAAGCATTATAACTTTGGAATATATTTTACAGGGTGATTTTATCTGTTATAATTGATTTCTGAGAATTATAGTGTATCAGGATGACATAGCAATTTAAAAATAGCAACACAAACTGTTTTCTTTTGCTCTTTTCAAGAATTCTTCCTTCCTTCCTGCTCCCACCTGCCTTCCCCCCCCCTCTCTCCTTCCTCCCTCCCTTCCTTTCTCTGGTCCTCACCCTAGGTTATGTTCACTGATTGTAGATAGAGAAAGAGGAGAGGGGGGAGAAAGAGAAAGAGAGAGAGAGGGAGGGAGAGAAACTTTGGCTGCCTTTCTTACATTCCCCAGACTGGGGATCGAACTCACAACCCAGGCATGTGTCCTGACTGGGAATCAAACCATGACCTTTTTGGTTCACAGGAGGATACTCCAACCTAATGAGCCATACCAGGGCTTAAGAATTTATGAAAATTTTTAATTTGATAGATTAATACTGAGTTCCATTTGTTATTCATCATTTTTGCTTATAAAGTAGGTTTCACTGAGAATTTCACTTATACCAATAAAACAATTGTACCTTTTCTTTTCAAAGCATGGCTTAAACCTTTGGGAATATGATGGTATAGAGGGGTTTTTCTCTCCAAGAAGAAAAGGCAATCAGAAAATCTTTGTCTATGAAATTAAACTGAAATGTACACTCAATTATCTGAATACCTTTCAGTGCCAGGCTCTATGGTGAGGATTGGTGCCAAAGTAATTTATCTTTTTCTTGCACAATGAGGGGTTTTAGTGGGTTGTAAGTTAGCATGATCTAATTGTGTGATGAGGTTTCTGATAAACCTAATGCAATAAGATGCTTTATTAATATAATTAGCATTGTGTGCAGGGTTTGGGAGTTACAGTTCTGCTGTTTTATTTTGCTAGACTGTGTTTACAGTGTTACATTTGGTATAGTGCTAAGGGACAAATAGGAGTGGTTCCAGAGGTGAGGAGCCTGCTGTTAAAAGATCTGGCCAGTTTTGCATATGAAGGTTGTTGGAAAATGGGAGTAATTCACTGGGTGGGAAGATATCTTTTTAAAAAATAATATATTTTTAATGATTTCAGAGAGGGAGGGAGAGGAGGAGAGAGATAGACACATTAATAATGATGAGAAAGAATCATTGATCAGCTACCTCCTGCATGCCCCCACTGGGATCAAGCCCACAACCCAGGCAAGTGCCCTGACTGGGATTTGAACCGTGACCTCCTGGTTCATAGGTAGATGCTCAACCACTGAGTCACTCGTGCTGGGCCAGGAAGACATCTTAATTGTGATTTTAGTTCCCTGTGGTAATATAAGATTCATGAGGATTGCGACCTGTTCACCTTGTTCAGCACTGTGTCATCAGTGTCTCCTACAGTGTCTGCTATGTATTCAAAACAGTTGATTTCTGTCAGTTTTGAGGGGAAGAGATGGCCACCTTCAAATATTGGTCTTGTAGATGCTTGTTAATTTGATTTATTACTTACTAGATGCCCAATGCACAAAGATTTGTGCAAGAATAGGCCTTCATCCCCCTTGCTGCTGGCACTGCCTTTGCTCTGGCCTGGAGCCACCTTTCGGCCTTCCCTCCAGTCCGGAACTGCCTTTCCATCTTCCTACACTGCCCAGAGGCATGGAGTTGCAGGGTCGGTGTGGAAAGCCTGCGTCCCTCCCCTCTACCCCCCATCCCTCAGTGCCTGTGTATGCAAATTAAGTCCTTCCCATCTTTGTTGGGTTAATTTGCATATTCACTATTGATTGGCCTGGTGGGCTTAGTGAAGGCACAGTCAATTTGCATCTTTCTCTTTTATTAGTGTAGATGTCCCTAGAGGGCATATGGTGGCATCAGGGAATTTTTAGGCGGCCAGATTTCAGGTTTACCTAAGAACTTTGTAAAACTAGCTTAGCAACCACACTGGTAAACTCCATGTATTTAATTCTGTTATTTTAAATGTTCAGAGAAGGGCTGCATGGGGATTTACTAGAAAATATACCTGCTTTTGATAAACTGGTGTCAAGATGATTCAGCTGTTTCTCTTTTTATTTAAGTATTTCATTAAAAAACAATGTCAACTAGTGAATGTTTTCTTTCTAATTTAGACCTTTCTTGTCTTTTCAGACTAAAGCAAAGCAAAGAACTGGAACGAGAGAGGGCTCTTGCCAATGAGCAGTTAACCAGAGCTATTCTCCGAGAGAGGATATCGAGTGAGGAGGACCGCTCGAAGGCAAAACACCTGGTGAGCAGGAAACAAATAGTGGAAATGTCTTATCTACAAGGAAACCTCTGATGTTTGGGGAAAGCTACATCAACTTTTAGAGTTGATAAAATTTATGTTCTCTTTACTTAGATTTCCTTGATTTTTGCCTTTTACAAGTAGTTGACAATTTGCTGAGATTAACCAGCAAGGACTTAAAAAGACAGATAACTTCAGAATTATTGAAATAAAGTCAACACAGAGACATAGGTACATGCATGTTGCCTGAAGGGATATTTTGCATGTTTGTGTGTTTGTCTGTGTGTTTGTGTGTCCCTCCTTCCTCACTTTTAATTTTATTGTATTGGCAGTCTCTGGGGTAAGCAGCCTCACTTGTTTCTATGCTTCTGACAACTGCCAGATGTTAGTCTGGGAACTCTCCAGCAAAGGTGAAGAAGGTTGGATCAGTCACTTCCTGGGTTTAGAAAGGGGGAAACATTGTGCAAGGGCTTTGAGAAACCAAAAGAAATAATTAAAACACTTTTTTTTTTAATTTAAAGAAAATATGATATAAACATGTCTAAATAATTATTAATAGAAGAAAATGTAAAAGGCGCTCATCAATTTGTCATTATAATGCAATTACTCCTTGCATTGGGTGTGTTTCCCTCTAAACAGTTTAAAAAAATGTTTTAATTGATTTTAGAGAGGATGGAAGAGGGAGAGAGAAAGAGAAACTTTGATGAGTGAGAGAGAAATATCAATTGGCTGCCCTTGTATGTCCCCTATTTCAGATCAAGTCTGCAACCACACCACCCTGACCAGGAATCAAACTTGTGACTGCTCAGTGTCCTTAGTTTAGCAGGTAATTGGAAATTGTTGAAACTTTAAAGAAAAGGGCCAGTTTCTGTTCTCTTATTCTTTCTCTCTGTCCTTTCTTTGGGAGGCTAACCTTTGACTGTATACCAGTAGAATCAATTAAAGGAAGTTAGCATGTAATGAATCCATTGCTTCAGTGACTCATCCAGGATCCAGGCTGAATGGGTAGATGTGAAGCTGGAACAGAGGTGATGGATTAAGAAAGAAATGTCAAGGGTCTGGCTGGTAGCCATCATGAAGGACGCACATGTTGATTGGAACTGAGGCCAAGACATGTGGAAGGAGAGCCAGGGGGATGATTTCAGAATTAAAGGCAGTAAGTGTTGAGTAATTCAATCATTGATTATATCTGCTGTACTCCTGATCTTCACTCATGTCACAGCCTCCCAATTTGAGGGCCAGGAATGGAGTGGAGAGGGTTAATAGTGCTGATGCGGAAGGAAGCCTGGGATCAAGCTTCTTGTTTCTAGCAGGTAGAAGAATCCTTTGTTGGCCTTTTTCTTTGTGGCTCCATATTTTTCCCTTGTCTTTGAAGCACTCTTTTCTCTACTTTTTTTGTGCCTCAATTTGGACATATTGTTATGTTCTTTTAGTTCAGGGAGATAAGCAAGATTGGGATTTAAGAACACATTAAACATACATGTATGCATATGACAAAGCATAAAAAGTTTTCACCAAAAAAATAAGACTTTCTTATTTAACAGTAACTTAAAATACTATGTAATATATTGTAAGCTTGGTTGGAATAGCTATCTTCAACCCATTTTTCTCTTTGTAACTTGCAAATCTTGTGTATTGCATACATATATTTTAGCACATTAAGCATAAGAAACTGGCCTTGTATGTTCTGTTTTGTTAGGTCTCGTCTTTGTGATTCTGGGGATGTAGACTACAGATGGCAAATTGCCATGCTCTCAACTCCTGAAGTTCAGCATCTATTATAATATTAGCCAAATAAAGCCTCAAAGCCCTTAGGGAATAAAAGTAGAATTTATACAATAGGATCGTCACTGAGTCAGAGGATCTTGTCCTGGCTTGAGTGTTCTCAGACATCTGAGTGACAGTTCCTGATCACAGCAAGGTGGCTGCCTAACTGTTTTACCAAATTATGCCATTGTTGTTACTAATTATTATAGAAGGCATTCATATTTAGTGAGTAAAGATCAGAAAATAAATACAAAAATATTAACCCACTTAAATTACCACTATCCAGAGATAGTTACTGTTAAGTTTCTGGTTTATTGTTTTTATATTTCTTTTTACATTCCACTAATTCTGTATAAAACATTTATATTAATATGGGTATATGTATTCACACAAACATAGGTGATAATAAACTTAGTCTTATATAACTCTTACAATAACTTTCATTTAAAAACATTAAACTATGTGGTAAAGATCTTTCTATACCAATATATATATGTGTGTGTGTGTGTGTGTGTGTGTGTGTGTATGTGTGTGTGTGTGTGTATGTGTAGTCACTTTTAGTGGTTGAATTTAACTGGATTTTTCTTTGATTATTAAAATAATACAGGGATATTTTAGAAAACTTGGGGATATAAAATTACCAAGGATCCAGCTCATATTCACGAGGATGGCCATTATAAAAAAGACAACAACAAGATTGGCAAGGATGTTGTGGCAATATAAAATGGCACAGTCTCTGTGAAAAACAGTATGGCATCTTTTAAAAAAAATTAAAAATAGAATTACCATGTGTTTCAACAATCCCACTCATGGCTGTTTATCCAAAAGAATTAAAAGAGTGACTGAAGAAGATATTTGTATGCCCATGTTTATGGCAGCATTATTCACAATAGCTACAAAGTGGAAGCAACCCAAGTGTACTGTAGATGGATAAACAAAACCATGGTCTATATAGATAGTGGAATGTTATTCAGCCTTAAAAAGGAAGGAAATTCTGACACATCATGCAACATGGGTGAACCTTGAGGTCATTGTGCTAAGCGAAATAAGCCAGCAAAAATAACAAATACAGTGTGACTCTACTTACATAAAGTGTCTAGAGTAATGAGATCTATAGAGATAGTTAGTGGAAGGGTGGTTGCTGGTGCTGGGGGGAAGGGAGAAATGGAGAGCTTTTTAATGGGTATGGCACTTCAGTTTTGCAAGATGAAGAAAATTCTGGAGATTGATTGCACAACAATGACAATGTGCATTATATTCTTGAACTATACATTTCAAAAATGGTTAAGATGGTAAATCTTATGTGTATTTTACCACAATTAAAAGTTAGGAATGAATTACTAAAGATGTAAGCAATAGTGCACATATTTTTCTATTCAAAATGGTTTAGGTGGACAATTTAATTCTAACATGTATTATTCCATTCCTTATTATTAACTAGATTATTTTTGATTGCTGAGTACCATCCAGATTTCCAGATTCTGAATCCCACCACCTTGTAAAATGAGTGGCGTGGAACTTCAAGCCTGCCATTGTCCCTCACTTTCGAGATCTTGAGCTGGGGAAGCAGGCATCCTCAGAACTGTGATCCCTGTCAGAGTCACCCGGGAACATTAGCATTGCTCTGCTGTGAGTGCTGGGCTCCCATTGCTGCATTCTCAACCCTAATATGTGGGGCCCTGAGTGAGGGCCAAACATTGATTTGTTCTTCTTTATTTAGAACCCAAATGCTGCAGCCTGTGAGAAAGTAAAGGTTAGGTTTCACACATTTGAAGGAATTGGAAAGCTGTCTTTCTGGAGAACTAGAGAAAAACACACACAGCACTGATGTGGTGTTGGTGCTGTGAAATAAAACGAACTCCTCCCTCCCCCCTCATCTTCCTCTACCCTCCGGCAGTTGACATTTGGATTTCTGTCTTCTTAGACCTGAATCCAGGCTTTTCTTCTCACAGTTGTAGATAGTGGCTTTCTTAAAGCTCTTTGAAGGGCCAAGTCATGATGGCCCTGTTGTTGAAGTTTCAAAATAGGATCAGATAGAAATTTTCCCCGTTAGAAGAATTGCTTTAGCTGGAGAAGGCGTCAAGTCCTGCTCTAGATACAGGAAGGGAATCCCAGCCACCCATTCTACCTTTCAGTGAGCGGTACCAGTATTTCAATCAGCTGATTTCACCCCGAAATTTTGGGGGAGGCAGTTCACTGATAATTGTATGCATACAAAATGTTAATTAAATCCACATGAAAGCTGTGCTGCGTAGGAGCAGGAAAGCACCTGCTCCTAAGAGTGAAGACTAAATAAGAGGAAACCTGTAAAGTTACATATTGTGTGATGGTTAAGATCTCGTACAGATCAATCTAATATTTGCTGTGTCATTATATATATATTTTAATCACAGAACAGGGAGCTGCATTTTTTTTGACTTTGCAAATACATTTGATTTCTTTTTAAAATGTCAATTAAAATTTGATTGACTTCTTTTTCTCTCATTAGGCTGTTTTAACAGTCGTTTCTTATCACCGCAGATTATGTGGTATTGTCTTTTTAAATTTAAATTTGAAAAGAAGCCCCTCTTTACTTATTTAAGGGGATAGTTACGGAAATGTTCTGGAGTTTACAGACATATGTGTGAAATAATTTTCTTCCTCTTAGGACAGATGCTTTATTGAGTGCTTACTGTATGCTAAATACTGAAGATATATAAATGAAGAAGACAAAATTCTGTCCTTAAGAAATTCACTGTAAAATGTGAGAGATATACTTAAAATAATGTTAAAAAGTGTTAAGTCTGTTATAGAGCCATGCTACTTATATTTTTGTGAGAATTCTCACTTTTGTGAAAGCAGGGACTTTTTTTTTTTTTTAACTCATTGCTATTTTTTTATTTATTCACATTCGAATTTATTTCACATATTCAAGTGCCTAGTATGTGCCATTGCCTAGCAAAGAGTCAACAGTCAGTGAAGACATGCTGATGAAGTAAATGAAGGCTTGAATCTACTTAAGCCTGTAAATGGGAGGAGAGGAAAATTTCCTAGGCAAGTGGTGCCTGAACTGAGGCCTGCAGTGAGTGTAGGAATGCACTTCGCAGGGAGGAGTGGGGACTGGCCAGCCTGTGATATTGCAGGCAAAAGCATAGGGACAATGGGACACTGCAAGGGACAGCTGAGTGGGAAGGGCAGTGCAAGGAGTGTTGAGGGATGAGGCAAAAGTCGTTGGTCAAGATCCTGAGTTTCATAGA